AAAGGCTGATTACTCGTACAGGCTGCGCATGTGATGTCCCCAGTGCCCTCTACAGCTTCTCGTTTCATTTAAACCCCAATTGGACCCAGGCAATGCCCCCAAGCGAAGAAATCAAAGCGTACAATGAGAGTGTCCTTGAGAGATATTCCCTGGGGGACAAATTGGTCTTCTCGACTGAGGTCATCCGCTGCGAATGGAATGAGGAGACGAGCCTTTGGACAATGCATCTCCAAAACCTCCAAACGGGAGAAAAGTATACTCATAAATGTCAGATACTATTCAACGCTGGAGGCCTTCTTTCTGTGCCTCGCAAATGCGATATCCCTGGCAGCGAGAAATTCAATGGTCATATCTTTCACTCAGCACAGTGGGATGCCGCTGTGAGTTTGAAGGACAAGAATGTTGTCGTTATCGGGAATGGCTGTGAGTATACCATGATTACAATTCAATTTCCCCGGGAGCTAATAATATACGTCCCTAGGCACTGGAGCTCAAATAGTTCCCGCGATTTTGCCTGAGGTGAAGCACCTCACTCACATTATCAGGTCAAAACATTGGATATATCCAGCTGCGAATCCCCCTTATCCTCCGTTGCTAAGGTGGATATTCCAGAATATTCCCCTTGCCTTGCGGCTACACAGAATACATCTCTTTCTATTAATCGAGCGCAGTTTGACTTTATTTAAAATGTCCAAGAAAGGAACAGTAGTGCGGCAAGAAAGACAGGTGAAGTCAGAACGGTTCATGCGCAAACACGCACCAGCCAAATACCACGATCTTCTCATTCCTGACTTCGATTTCGGTTGCAAGGTTCGTATGATGAATTAAATACTCTGTGCCCCATCCTTTCATTTAAAACCCAGACACTAACGCTGCCATCCATTCTGCTCCAGCGCCGAATTTTCGACGTCGGTGGATATCTAAAAGCCTTAAACGCAGAGAACATCACATTAACCGATGAAAAGCCATTAGAAATTCTCCCCGATGGCTTAAGGACTAACCATGGCATCATAAAAGCAGACGTTATTGTGCTAGCTACTGGTTTTGAGACCAAATTCCTGCACGCCATGGATGTCATTGGGAGAGATGGGCAGAGTGTCAGGGAACACTGGGACAAATACCCGGGGCCAACGGCTTACAACAGTTCCGTGCTGAGTGGATTCCCCAACTTTTTCATGTTGTTAGGCCCCAATTCGGCAACGGGACACACGTCTGCTCTCATCGCGTCGGAGAAGTGAGTAATCGGTATTTTCGATATCGACATATTTCATAAAGCAATCAATATATTCTCCATAGAAACCGAGAAATGGGGCGACCCGAGAGTTAGCTGGCTGATATGTTAAATTCATTCATAGTACAATAAATTACGCTTTGCGTATTCTGAAACCAATTCTCACTGGAAAAGCCACATCGGTCGATATTAAGGAGCAGGCGGAGAAATCGTACGCTGATAAAGTACAGGCTGCTCTGAACGAGACTGTTTTCAATGCCGGAGGTTGCCAGTCGGTATGTATCCTGGTTTCCTTTTTTTTTTTTTTTTACCCGCCTCCTTACGAATGTTTCTTTGTGCCTCTCAGTCAACTAGGTACCATGGTTACTAATCTATCTCATCCATAACCCAGTGGTATATCCAAAAAAGCAAGTGGAATGCAACAATATATCCCTGGTCCCAGGCGTATTTTTGGTATAGGAGTCTCTTCCCCACCTGGTCTGATTGGAACATAGAGGTACGATTGGCACCCTACCACAACGTAGAAATAATATAGGAAACTAATGTCCGTCGGGCTCAACAGTGGAAATCTAGGCAGCCCTCCCGGAGGAAAGGAAAAACTATAGCAATTTTAATCACACTGATAGCTGTAGCTTTGAATGGGTTCTGGATATGGAATTCATAGGTGGATGTAGCTTTGCTGCCATTTAAGTCGGACTGGGAATATGTATTTGCATGATCCATCTTTTATTTTGTCATGAGCTCCATTGTGATCTCTCTGTTTTGCTCGAACTTCATTTGAAAAGAGGTCCCGATCCAAATCTCATATTATCTGTACTTAATATCTCAGTGTGGTTTCTTGACCCTGTAATAACAGGCAGAAAATTATGAAACCAAGTATACCATCATCCACTTCTCCCTTTCCTTCTCCTGCCTATCAATACACCTTAGAACTCGCTTTAATCATTCGTATGAAATAAAGGTAGTCAAGTGCGCCACGGACGATATAGCTGAAAATAAAATACCTACATATGGTACATATTAAATATCAGAGGTGGAGATATACACCCCTTCACCAAACTTCAGTATTTGGATAACTACTGCATTATCCAAGATCATTTTGCAGACACAGCATCCCATTCGGATCCGAGACTGCAACAAGGGGCCCAACTGGATGATTCAGAATGCTGGAATGCTGCTGATTGAACTATGCCCGAACATCCATTAATATTGAAGGCGATTTTTCCGGGGCCTATAAGTTGCAAATTGCCATCCACACTTCAGGGCTGGACTCGATTTACGGAACCACAAACTTAAGTTGACTCCATTCAAGCTCTTATCGCCATACATCCTGAGTGTCAAGGCGGAGGTAGTGGCCCATGGGGTACCTGGTTATATCCAATGACAAGCCATTCCGCCTGACAGCTATACACTTCTTCTTGTCCGATTCCAATTCTCGAAGTTTTATCCCATAAGTCAAAACGGACCTTCACTCGTGGATCTCTCGTCTTGTATGGTTGGTTTTTCACTGTACGCCCCCTAATATATGCAATTCCTCCTATGATCCAAGAGTGCGGGTTATACGTTTTGCCTTCCATGCTCCGGATCAGTTGGAAATATCAGCTAATTTTTGCTACACACCTCCACAGGTATTAATCACAACCTTCCATAGAAACAACAGGAAGAGAATATTGACCAAGGAAACCGTTAGAACCCTCGAAGATCAATGAATCGACAAATCACAGCCACCCCGCCTTAGAAATCCTTGAGAATTGGAGAACATGGAGAGACTCCCGTCAGATACGAACCCTTCCACGGATCTCGAAAGTGGGCCTGGGACCAGCTTCGCCAACAACCGGGAATCGTCGCTTTCCTCTGGCCATGGTGATGATAACGACGACCTCAGAATTGAGCAAATTTCATCCAAAGATTCCGGAGTTGACCCCGGTCCCCCGTCTGATTGGGGGGGTTCACTGCTTGGTTTCAAGCGGGTCTGAGCCATTTAGTCATTTGCAATACTTGGGGATACATCAATAGCTTCGGTGTTATTCCAATCATACTATCCGGAAGCGTTGAATCGGCCACATTCGGATATTTCCTGGGTGGGAAGCGTTCAAAATTTCCTGCTTTTCGTTATCGGGACATTGTCCGGGCGTGCCACCGACGCTGGCTATTTTAAAGCTGTATGTATATGACAGCTGGGGCATTAATTCTCACCACAGGAATCTTCATGACGTCGCTGACAAAGACATACTGGCAACGGTTCCTTTCCCAGGGGTTGTGCACGGGTATCGGCTGAGGATTGATGTTCTGCTCTACAGTTGAATGCGACCAGAGGACTTATTTTCCCAGGGATCATAAAAACGTTGCTCCCCCGCATCGGCTATGCTTGGGCGGTGCGAGTTTTGGGTTTTTTCACTCTGGCAACGTTGACTCCCTGCTTCATATTCCTTCGACAACGAGTCCCGCGGACCATTCTTCGACTGGGCTGCCTTCAAGGAGATCCAGTTTTCTCTATTTGCAGTTGCCATGTTCCTCAATTTCTGGGACCTTTATGTTGCCTTCTTCTATATTCAGAAGCTATGGTCGCAATGTGATCGGTCTCTCCAAAGAGAAGTCAATGACCTCCTACTGATTATGAACGGTGTCGGCATCGCTGGTCGACTTTTGCTCAATTTTTATATCCGACTACTTTACGGGGTCCGTTCAATGCCCTTATCCCAAGTACCCTAATCGCAAGTATCCTATTATTCGGCTGAATAGGGATCAGCGATATATCGTCGTGGTATGCATTTGCCATTCTAAATGGATATTTCGCATCGGGGCTTCAATCGTTGTTCTAGCAACCTTGTCTTCCATGTCGCCGGATTTGAAGAAACCGGGCATCCGCTTTGGAATCATTCTAAGCATTGCTAGCCTTGTGTCAATGACAGGACCACCAACATCAGGAGCTTTGATTCATCTGAAAAATGGTGAATATTTGTACGCCCAGATTTTCAGCGGCGCATCGATGGCTGTGGTAGCCGTGGTTTTAATTTGTGCGAGGATCTCGGTGACAGGCCTGGTAATGAAGATAAAGATCTAAAGCATTCTCCATTCTTTGCTTGAAAACCAGGCCATTTTCATATTGTCTGTTCACGTGAGATTTTCCTTTTGATAGATTATACATAAAGAGTTCATGTTATTTCCTGACATTGTTGCATGGCGGCGTTGATCAATTCGTTTTTATGCAGATATATTTCCTTCACTTTCTCTCGCACGATCCTGGTTTATAAGGACAGCCAGAAACCTAGCCATAAGAGAACCGAAGAAGCGTAAGTTTACATCCTTGTTTTTAAAACGGCCCGGGATCGGTGCCGTAGAGAAAAGGGGGGCACACAATGACAAGAAACATATCGGAGAGATTGGTGGGAGATGTTTATAATATTAATACAAAGACAAGTATATGTGAAAAGGAAGGCAAATATCATGTTTACTTCATCACATTTCGCAATGTTCTGTAGTTTCGGATTTCAGGATATATGATCTCACGGTAGGATGGTAGCGCCTCTAATGTACAGATTAGATGAGGAACATTCAGAAAAGTTTTTGTAGTCTGTATAGTTATGTGACAGTCTTCTACCGGTCATGGGCTCACCTTTGATCTGAATGTCACCCGTTGAGCAAACATGCATTAACTAATGATGGGATGGTTTAATGGACTGCGGACTCTAGAAGATGCTAATGAGGTAGAAGTAGTTTTTTTCTTTGAAAAACATCTGTGAGCAGCCGGAGGTCACATGCGTGGCTGCCTGCTGAGTCATCCTGGATGATGTGCCTGCAACCAACTCCTCCGTTTCTCAACCCGCCATCGATATAGACATCTTGTTTGTATGCCCTTTAAAAGCTGAGATTAACCTGCAGGACCCATATTTTGTTATCCAGGCGGTTGGCAGGGGATCCAGAATTACGATTTCTGCTTTTGCCTCTGACATAACCTCCGTCAGAACCCCACACTTAGTTAACTATACCTATAACTAAGCGCCTCATCCGTCGCTCGATTTCAATAGTTAAACGCTGCCTCTTTCTTCACCAAACATACCCTTATCTTCGTGAATTACCCCTATTATACGCTATACGCCCCTTCTCTTGGTTCAACATATATTCTAAATATGGCACCACGTGGACGCGGAGGAAAATTTAGCAAACCCACTCGCGGAGGTCTGTATCCAAATATCATGATTACCCTGCCATGGCCTGTCAAATAAGATGTTGACCGTTTTTCTTAATACATTCAGGAGGCAAGCATTTCAGTCGTAATCTCCAACCCCTAGATAAGGATGGGACGCCCCTAGGCATGTGGCGGGTGCGTTTCCTCCCCCCCCCCCCCCCCTTTTTTCCTCTGCTGCAGGGTTCATTCTGTTTTCTCTCTGGAGACCAATGAACCAAATAAGCCCCACCAACGGCATGAGGCTCATAAGTAACGTATTGTGCCAAACTCTCCAGGATCCCAATGATGTAGAACCCTTATCAGGGGAAGAGGAATCCGAAGAAGAAGAGGATGAGGAATCTGAAGCAGATTCCGGCCCCTCCAAAGAGATGACCCGTGAAGAACGCAAAGCTGCCGCCAAGGCCAGAAAAGAGGCCGCCATCGCCAAAAAGAAAATGGTTTTGCCAGGTGAACTCCCCCCTTCCGAAGACGAAGATGAAGATGTCGACATGCCCGCAAATCCCAACCATACTGCCAAATCGCGCTCCCAGGCCGCCATGAGTCCGGCGGAAACTAATGGTGAAGCTGTACCCGCGAAATCTGGGAACGGTCCACTATCTCGTAAGGAGAGGGAGGCAGTTCAGTCCCAGCAGGCGCGTGAGCGATATATGAAGCTGCACGCGGAAGGCAAGACTGAAGAAGCTCGTGCTGATCTTGCGCGGCTAGCTATTATCAAAGAGCGTCGTGAGGCGGAAAAGGCGCGCAAGGAGGCTGAGAAGGAGGAGCGGGAGGAACGGGAGCGTGAAAAGGCTGAGGCAAAGGCTAGGGAAGCTAAATTGCGAGAGGCTGCTCTTGGCCCTGGTGCGAAGGGGAAGAAACTCAGCCCGAAGAAGAAATGACGGTTGCTGCATTTCTCTCTTATCTATCACCCTCATCTGCATGCCTCTCCGAGCTCCGAGCAACCAGCATCCTTACGCGGCGTCTTGAATCTTTACATTTTCATCATGCCTCTGCGCCGTTCTGTTTTATTTTACCATTTCCTTTCCCCCAGCTTCTCACGTATCACACTGCGAACTACATACGAATGACATACGAATGATCTCCCAATATGACAGCTCCAGAAATCCAGCCTATCATTACACATCCTTGTGAGGTGTCATTTTGTCTCTCTTCTGATGGTAATGTCATAGCATTAGTTACTGGCGGAGATGCAAGCAATTACTTTATACACTGATCGAGATAAGCGTGAACAGTTTTTATTAAAAAAAAAAAAAAATTAACAACTACCCCAGCTCCAAAACTGAGAGGGGAGAAGTCAATTGAATCCTTTGAGAAAGGGTCATTTGTACCCTTTCTCAAAGAATGATTATACGCCCTTTGAACTGTGTTCTCCCTCTCATATTTTCACTATTTTCATTTCTGTCAGGTTGGAGTACTGCATGCCCCCGATTCCTAATATGGCATTCGAGGCGTTGGGCAGATGCATACTGAACCAATCCAAATTTCATGAGTTCGTGCTTACTGCCTAGCCTGATAATTCTCGTATACCTAAACAGATATACCCAGGGGGCAAGACTCTCACAAAGCAAATAAACCTCTCTAACGAGTTCAGGTGAAATTCATAGAAAATGAAACTTGCAAATATGATATATGGGCTATTCGAAACAACCCCTTTCTGAGCAAAACCCAGATTCTCCCGTGCTCTTCTCTTCACAACCCTTCTTATTCCATTGGAATTAGAAAAGTGGATATATTTACTTCATGTAACTTACTGGAACGATATCGAAGCTAGCTAGATGCCCCCCCCCCAAAAAAAAAACTCCAGAAAATGAAACATAAAAATAACCAAAGAACCTGTGCTAACCCTAAGAGAAAAGTAAGCACTTAAAAGTACCAAGTAAATCCCATTAGAAGAAGCCGGAAATATACATGTGACTCAAATTCCCCTCTAGGGAGACGGTTATTGATATCTGACGCGTGCAAAACCACCTGCTCACTCCCCCATCCCCACACCACCAACCTCGTTCATCGTTCCCACCCAGGAGCTTTTCATTTGATATTATCTCTCCCTCCCTGACTATCTTCCCCTCGAACACACACCCCCACCAATTCAACCCAAATTTCCCAAAAAAAAAAAAAACCCTTTACATCATACCCCCCAAAACAGCCCCTCAACGGCCAGCCCCTGGCCCACTACTCCCCAGCCCACGATCAAGCTGACCAGCCACAATACGGCGAGGATAAGAATAGGGATGAGTAGGAGTTCCGTATGGTAGAGAAATGGAAGGGCGTTATATCCTAGGAAGGTGATATAGGTGTAATATGTCAGCGCGGAGAGGTATAGGGGTATTCCCGAGGAATGTGGGGGAGGGGTGCTGGGCGGTGATTCGGGGGTGGATGATGAATGTCGGATGAGGATTGGGAGGAGGAGGAATTGAAGGACGTAGAGGTGTAGGTATAGTGGGAAGAAGGCACGGTTCGAGACCTTATTATTTGTGTGCAATTGGTTAGGCTCTCTGTTTCCAATTCCACCACACTCACGACGGGAACTTGGGGCACCACTG